CGATAAAACCAACCAATCAAAAAACTAAAAGAAAAGAAAAGATAGAAAGAAAGAAAGAAAGAATATTAAAGAAAGAGAGAGAGAGAGATTATTAGGCCATGAACGCGTTCTGTAACGCCAGTGCTTCGGCCTTATGAGAACCAATAAAAATAAAATAAAATAAAATAAACTAACGAAAGAGGAGAAAGGAACACAAAACAAAAAACAAACCTATTTGCCTATCGTGACGGGCCCCGCCTTTGCTCCGTTCATTGGCGTCGGTGAAGGGGGGGGGGGGTGGGGGGATAATTAAAACTGGACAATAATGAAAGAAATAACGAGGATTGAGAGAAGAACGCAGATCCACAGAGAAGACGAGATAACGGCGTGATTGAGAGATAAACCTTTTGGGGAAGGGGGCGAGGGCAGGGTGGCAAACGGGAATAAAACGCAAGAGCGTGGTAATAAATAAAGGAAAAGAGAGAAACATTAGCAAACTGAATGAAAATAAATATGCGTGTGCGTGTGCAAGGTCTACATACTAACATCAACCTTGTGTGCGTGTGTGCGTGCATATGTATAAAAGTGTACGCATTCGTATTCGTGTGCGTTTTTCTAACAGCATTATTCCCCCTCCCCCCCCCCCCCCTCCCCCCAATCTCCCAAGCGATAAAACCAACCAATCAAAAAACTAAAAGAAAAGAAAAGATAGAAAGAAAGAAAGAAAGAAAGAAAGAAGAAAAGAAAAGAAAAAAAGAAAGAAAAGAAAAAAGAAAAAAAAGAATAAATATAATAAAATAAAACAAAATAAAATAATATAAAACAAAATAAAATAAATGAAAAGAAAAGAAAGAAAAAAAAAAACACAGGATATCGCTTCCGTCTGGCACTCGCACATTCCGAGCCACTCGAGAAACCCACACGAAACGTTTCGAAATCGAACCGCATCCGATCAAAATAAGGAAAAAAAAAAAGAAAGAAAAAAAAATATAAAGAAAGGAGGTGAAAAAAAGACGCTGGTTCTAATATCTCCCACCTATATAAATAAAACTAAACAAATAAATAAATAAATAAATAAATCTCTCTATATATGTGTATACTAAAAAAAAAAATCGATTAAAATAAAGATTCCCCAAAAAACCTTGTCACTCGAACAACAACAAAAGCACAACATAACAGCAACAATAACAGTAACAACAACAACAACAACGCCAAAACATATACATGAATTATCTTCCCCTAATCTTACAGGAAAACGTTACAAAATTACTATAGTATGTCACTGTTCTTGTTGTTCTTGTTGTTGTGAGAAAGAGTGGGAGAGAGGTAGATGAAGATAGAAAGATATATATACATATGAGAGAGAGAGAGAGAGAGAGAGAGAGAGAGAGAGAGAGAGAGAGAGAGAGAGAGAGAGAGAGAGAGAGAGAGAGAGAGGGAGAGGGGGGGTAGGAGGAAAGGGAGAGGGGGAGGGAGAGGGAAACATCAGGAGTAGGAGGGGCAAAGAGGAATTGCATGACGGTGCACAACAAACAACGTCTCGCATGCATGACTGTGTAAGTGATATAAATACACACAAATAATAGTAAGAATAACAATGATGATGATTATAGTAATAATAATAATTATTGTTATTGTTATTGTTATTGTTGTTATTATTATTATTATCATTATTATCATTATCACCATTATTATGATTATCATTATTATTATTATCTTTACTATCATTACTATTATTATTATTATTATTATTATTACTGTACATTATGATAATGGCAATAATATCAATACAACACGAAGACTAAGAATGAAAAAAAATAAGAGCATAGAAAGAATACAGGAACAAAATCACACTAAAAACAAAAAACAAAAACAAAAACAAAACAAGAACAAGAAAAATAACAACGAATACACGAAACAAAAACAAGCGGGCAACAGGTGCAAAACATCCCACTCGAATTACTGTAAAAAAAAAAAAAAAAAAAAAAAAATATATATATATATATATATATATATATATATATATATATATATATATATATATATATATATATATATATATAATAAATAGTTAAAAGAGACACCGATAAACCACGAAAGAGAGAGATAGAGACCAAAGGATGATGATAAGAAGAGGATAAATATGATAAAAAAAGGAAGAAGGGGAAAGAATAAAGATATCTTGCTGTGTAATCGATATCGCTGCTGAGGTTCAAAGTGTAAGACATCGCTTTGGGAGCGAAAGGAAAAAGTGCAGGCATCTAAAAGTGCTCTCGCTCTCTCTCTCGCTCTCGCTCTCTCTC